AGCAGATTGACATATTATCCAACTATAAAGAATTCACAAAAATAGACAATATTCTTTCGCTTGCCTATTATGTGCCGACTTGCAAATATCTCTGATGTAGCTAAAACATGTGAGTTGATAAGTGCTTCATCAATCCGCAGGAAGGTCTGGTCTCCACTTGCCCCAACCCATGTTGCTTTCCTTCCATATTTCGAGCCAATGTTCGGCATGGGGGCTGGCTTTGCATTCCAGTAAGGCATGTCTAAAATAGGTCTTCCTAGCTGTCCTTTCTGTAAAACAATTCAGTAGCAAATCATAAAATTAGTGTTTGTTGAAATGCAAAAGCAGGCTACGCTTACTCTCATGAGCAGCTTTCACGTTACATTTATACCACGTTATCCATTTACAGATCCTTTGACATCAGCGATAAACTTGTAGTTCTCAATGGAATGCAAGTGTGGTGACATCACTTCCCATTAAAAAGTACATTAATTCTTCCTCCCGCCATTTTACTGAATATCTGTAACAAGGTAAGGGCATGGATGGGAGGAAGAGTTTGCAGGAGCCAGAACATTGCAACTGCAAACCACTGCCCACGAATGCAATGCATTACTGGCTCGGAAGCAAAAACAAATAAATTAAGATTTTTTTTTATTTTATGACATTTTATTTTAATTTAAAAAAAATTCTGTAAAAAGGTGGAATTTCCCCTTAAAATGCCTGGACTGCTAACATCAGATAAGCTGCTATTTCTGTTTTTGAGTTTAATACTATTGTTTGTATAGCAATTAAAGGGTAATTCGAATTTCCCAGTAAATGTGGGAAACTGAAAAATGATGCCCAAAAATAGGTCACCTTAGCTTGTTGCCCAGAAACGCTGCCCATTGGTCAACAGACAGGTGACTGCGCTGACTAAAGTAACGGGCTGCAATGCTGTGTACAGGACACCTGGCCCCCCAAAAGGTATGACTACTGGGGGGCCAGAGGTGACTAATCTGTGGGGGGATTTCAGGTTCCCACATTTGCTAGGAAACTAGAATTACCCTTTAAATCTGAAGTCTACACTATGCTTGTACACGGCAGTGTTTTCTTGTTTAGACGTCAAATCAGATTCATGGAACTAAGAGAGGGGAAAGCATTATTTCAATTTGAATAACTTATCAGGAAACCGACAGTATATTTTCACAAAAGTAGGAGTTCATTTTCTTTTTTTTAAACTTACAGAGAAGCTTCCAAAGGTGAATACTTGTCCATCCTGCAAGAGGACAGCGGTGTGATTGCTTCCAGCCGTGACCTGTGTACTTGGGCATGGCAGTGCTTGTACTAGCGTTGGACAGCCCCTGAAAGAACAGATCGCTTTACTACATGCAGCGTGACAAAATCCCAACATAATACACTCAGTGTACAGGCTATCTTGGCTGAATTGTGATCTTAATGCCAGCAAGTCACAGGCAATATCGGTTACATGCATTACAAGTCATTTTCATTACTTCTATCGGTGCCGTAAAAATTGACCTTCTCCTCTTACAATGAAGAATAAATAAAATGCATATATAGCAATGAATTGTACAGAACATGTAATGCATCCTCAACCCTCCCCCACTACATAAGCATAAAGCACTGGATCATAAGGCAGAAAATAAGATATAGTGTATTGGAAGTCAGTCACAACATATTCAAGAACCGTAAAGCAAATATGTGACTAATAATAATATTATTATTACTATTAATGTCTTGGTGTAACATTATTGTTGTTACTACTACAAGTAAACACTATGGAGGTCTTTTTCACACAACAGTCACACATTTTTCCAATTGAATGTGTGTTAAAATTGATTGAAAACGATTGCATCTCTAACATGTTTACCATACACTGAGGGATCAGATGTTTGGATGATAACAGCACATATCCTCATTATTGCTCATAAGGCAGTATTGGGAAATGTTGGGTGATCTTCACACATCTTTGCTTTAGTAGGACAAAGCCTTACTACAAACTGTATCTTTTGTTATGTTTTCCTCCCAAGGACCTTCAGGACAATATTTATTTTATACAGTGACAATGCTGCAAATTTGCTTGTGTAACAATTGTGTTTAATTTAATAGCCTGAGTAACCCAAAACTAAAGACTATCATCTATGATGATACATTAAGCAATTGCCTGAAATTACTGCTGTCAAAGATATAAAAAGCAAACCTGTCATTTTTAAAAGGAATTCAAGCTGCACGTAAGGTTACATTCACATGGGTGGTGGATGGAAGACAGCATTCAGCACCTGTATTGTTTTCTTTAGCTCGTGCCGCTTTCAACACATGCAACATATAAATCGGTACGACATTATGACCACATATGCAGGTGTATACCTAGAGAAAGACTCAAAACACCTTTCCAGATATAGTGACTGGAGGGATATTTTAGCATCGGTGTAAATTATACTTAGGAGTCCTTTTGGCACCTTAATGTATAATATAAGGTTCCCAAGAAGACAGCAAAATGTATGTGTAGGCGATAATTGGTGTCCTCTTTTGACTAGCAGATCTCTAGGATTTTCAAAAGTTAACCTTTGCAGTTGGGGCTACCCCCACACTGCAAGGGTTAACTGCTCGTTAGGGAACAGAATAAAAACGGTACACTTACCCAATCCTTGATCCTGCGACAGTGACCATTCACCTCTCTCCCCCTCTATTTTGGCTTGGCGTCCTCATGTTTAATGCAAGTGAATGGACCTTGCATAGATGTGATGACATCAGCGGGGCTTAGACTGATAAAGCCTGGGGAAGAAGAGGCTGCGAGGACCAGTCTAGCAGCCAGACGGTAAAATATATTTTCTTTATTTGCACCCCTAGAGCAAACCGAGCAGTTATTCCTTGCAGTGAGGGGTAGCCCCATAACAAGGGTTACATTTTGGAAATTGTGAAGTTCCTCTTTAAGCTCTGTTTATCAATTGCATGAAGGGAAAGGTTTACCTTAAATATCTGACCTGATCGGACTACAAAAATCTGCATCCGACAGGAGCAAAGTTTAGTACTTGTAGGGCCAGCTTGTGTCCTTCCCCTAGTAACTATAGCTACACTTACAGTACATGACCTGCTTACACTACTTTAATATATAAACTGTTCATTGTAAATGCCTTTACTTTATAAAATATATAAAAAAAGCAGTATCTATACTTGCCTGCAACTCACATCACCATGCCCAAGCTGCCCGTGTTGACCATATCCAAAAGTATACACGTCACCATTTTCCATTAAAACCACTACAACCAAACAATAACAAATTAATTGGGAAAAAGATTAAATAAAAATGACACCACACTGTTACTGGTAAGTATTGGTACGACACAGATCAGGGTTCACTATATAACTACTAGCATTTTAACAAGCTGGCTAATGCATATAGATTTAAAAATTACTTTATAATGTGGGGTGTATCTATAAAGTATATTATAAAGAGGCATTTGTCCTGCAACATTACATTTACATTCGTTCTGTGCAAATGGAGGCAAAAACAAATGTTTAGTATATTTTCTTGCCAGGTTAAATGAAATACTGCATTATGGCCACTAGGTACGAGTTGAAGAGTGTAGGAAAGTAGTATTTATTTTCTATGCACCACAGCTCCATCAAGTGGCCAGCAGGTTGTACTAGAATCATAGATAATTCATATAGTGCACACCTTCTATTCCCCTGGTGCCCAACCTATGGCCTGAGGGATGAATGTTGCCCTTTGGTGCTTGCACCTGAACCCCAGCAGTCAGCAGTGGAAGCCTTGATTTTAGGGATGCACAGATACTTTTCGAGTACCAATGCAGATACTTGGCATTTTCATGAGAACTACCAGGGTTGCAGTGGCTGCAGCTGGGACCTGGCTCTGGCCCTCCACCACTGTCCTGAAATCCTTAGTCTGTATTGATGTAGAAAAACTGTCACATGACAATAAACAAAAATGTATCAGTACTCGTACTTGTAAGTACTCGGCAAGTACCAGTACTCTTACTTGCAAAACTGGTATCTGTGCATCCCTTTATTTATATTTATAAAAACAAAATCACACATTATAACAGAGATGTACAAATCCCAGGAGCTCTGTGTGCTCCTTACAAATGACAGCTGCCTCCTAATTTTTCTCTAGTCTAGTCTTGGAGCTCAAAAGTATTGGTACATGTACTCGTACTTGTGCAACCCTACTTGATTTTGTTAAAGGAGAACTATGACATGAGTGATTTCCACTCACCTCATAGTTCTAAGCCGACCTGTGACAATGAGACTGTCACAGGTCGGCTCAGTAGATCGGGAGGTGAGGGAAAACATACCGGGTTCCCTCACCTCTCGATCCTGTCACGGCTCTCTGCCGTGACAGGGGGAGGGGCTGTATTCCCCTCTCCCATCTGCCAGCGCTGACTGGCGGAACGGACGGGGGAGGGGGCAGGTACAGCTGGCTCTGCCTCTAGATAGGCAGAGCCAGCTGTCACTCACGCAGCTGGGCGGATCCCGTCATCTACGTCGGGATCCGCTCCAGGTGCGGCGTCTCAGTATACCGCGAGCTGTAGCTCGCGGTATACTGAGCTTAGGGTAACGGGAGGACGCTAGTTTGTGTCCTCCCGTTACCCTAAGGAGAACTATGGGGAAAAACACTGACCCCATAGTTCTCCTTTAATAGGTTGTAAAGGCAGCGATATCTAGCAGTCTTATGTAACATGTTGCCAGTCTATGACTGTCTCCTACAACCTCCCACCAATCAGAACAGTAAAAAAGAAACATAATTTCCAACCATTACCACTAAAGAGTTTGCAGTATACCGCAGTCTTATGTAGCTGCCCTTTGGTGAGGTCAGGACCCCCTATACCTAACCACTGCTCTATTTCACAAAACAGACTTACCTGAATGGTGGAAGCCACAGCTGACCTGAACAGCCCTGAGCTCGCTATCAAACCGAACTGTCCCAGGAGGGTAAGTGGTGATTTTGCTGGCATCCTTCTCTCCTTGTTCTCTGCTCTCATCTGCAAGAAAAGTAAATCAGCAAATCAGCATAATACGACTGAATTCATCTTTGAGGAGAGAAAATGAGGACAATAAAAAGCACAGGCATGTTTGCACTAACTCTGCTTTCAGAAGCATTTATTTATATTGATTGGAAAGCACCAAATGTGTCGGATTTGCTCTATGTAAAGAGCCAGTTGAGTTCCATTCCAGCAGTGCTTAAAGGAAATCAATGCAAATATGCAATAAACAAACTGTAGCCTTGTGCACATTCTTGGGAGATGCACCTCTGAAAGAAGAATAAAATGTATCATGGTACTAGCTCAGAGAAAAATCAACAAATACAATAAAGGGAAAGGAGGACAAGCATTGCCAGAAATTATCTACTTCTGGTTGATCCTGTGCATAAGCTACAGAAACATTTCATAACACTAGATGATAAACAATGCATCCAAAAGAACAAATGTGCTGGCACATTTTTCACAGTTCTACACACTAAGGGCAGGTTCACACCATATTCTGGACAAGATCTGGTTCAGTTCCAGTGCATTCCAGACCAAAGTGAGACCAGCAGTATTTTTCTGGTCTGGAACGGACTGTGCTGGTGGGAATAGAGGCCAGCAACAACATAGGGATACATTAGGATGCATTTTGGGTCCGGAAACAATCTGGTCTGGGTATAATCTGGATGTGGTGTGAATGGGCCCTAAATGTGCACAGAAACTGTGCTAAAACGTATCACATGAATGCTGGGCTACAACACAGATATTGCTGTAAAACAAAGGCAGTCAGTTAAAAAAAAAAAACATATTAAAGAGGAGAAATTGGAGCAGCACCTAAAAGGAAAGAAATATGAAAATTATAAAAAGTTGTGAAAACTGCTTTGAAGGAGATTTAGCAAATGAATCCTCGGTAAAACTGACAAATATCAGAGTGCAAAAGATGAAACTTTAACCAAACACTGGGGCACAGCAGACACAGAGAAAACCAAAATGGACAGCAACCCAATGAAAATACTGAAACAATCTTAGGCAGGCATGTCACCCACACATAGTAAAGTGGAATTTATAACTGGGAACTCTACATTATCCTCACACAGGGCCAAAGTGATTCCTTTGCAGAGATACAGAAACACCCTTTAGTTAATAGAATCTATACAATTTGTTATCTGCACTTCTTTGCAATGTAGTGCAATACAAATATATTTTAATATTGCACTTTAAAATTGGTTACTCTGATCTCGCCAAACTGTAGATTAACAAATTAAAATATCACTATAGCTCAGACTGGGCCGCTATTCAACTGAAGTCCTCAATGAGCCACGCCAGCCAAACACACACAGCTATACCTACGGATTGTTTTATACAGTAAACTCCCAGTTATTCAGTACCCATGGGGATTGGTAGATGCTGAATAACTGTAGATTCTGGCTGCTTGAGAGTTACTATTAACTGTCAAGCAACAACCCCCACCACGTTTAATTTGCTGGCTAGATTCTGCTATTGGCTATTTCGAAATGCCATAGCGAATAGCAGGCTAGCTATTGAAAACGCAAAATACATTTAGCTGCTAACAACATTTTTTAGTGTGCACATGTCTATCAAGCAACTGGCAAAAAAAAAAGAGCACATGTCCTCGATTTATTTTTCTCTCGTTGCTTGAGAGTTCTGGTTGTTGAATACCAAATAATGGGGAGTTTACTGTATATGAAAATATGTGTAACGTAAAAGGTTGATACATAGTCACTAAACTGAGTGAAACTCCTCATTAAAAAAAAAACTCTATCCATACCACAGATTAAAGTGAATCTAAACCCCCCAAAATTGAATATGTTGCAGTTTACCAGCCAATAGATGTGGCAGTCACGTTAGTTTCTTTTTACGATTGTTTTTTTTCCTTGATTTTCAATTGGTGATCCTACTAATGGCACGCTGCATGTCCCTTTGTGTTTATACTAATTTCTCCCTTGTATCTCTGGAGGCAGCCATAGTTGTTTTACTGACTGGACTTCACACAGGTCTGTCTTTTTTAATATCTATTACATGGTGGATTGATGAACTAGTAGTTTAGTTTACATAATGTTTGTCTTTTAAGGACACATTTCTGGCAAGAGCAACAGGTATTTTCTGTACTTGCTAAAAATGTGAAAATTGATGTAGTCACCACAGCTGAGTACTGTTAAGCTGCAATTTTTTTGTGGGTGTAGATTTTTTTTTTTTTTTAGGATACAGTATCAATCACATTAGTTACCTGCGATGGTTTGTATCCCTCCTCCTCCAGCTGCTTTGTGACAAAATACCCCCTCATGCCACCGGATACACCTCAGAGCAACTCTGTCAATGGGCAGAGCAGATCCTGTCATTTATCGACTCTTCCTCCATTCACAGACATGTTGCATTGTGGAACAATAGTAATCGGAACTCTATAAAAACGTAAAATGGGGCAGTAAGGGGTGGGCGAGCGGCACAACTCTATCACACTGATGGTCACTAGTATTAAAGTAACATTAAACTCAGGAGTTAAAGCTTAAAAAAACATTTAATTACACTATTAATAAAAATGGATCTTATTTGTGTATCACTCAGCTGTAGATCCTCAAACCATCTCTGAATTGGTGCTGACACTGTCCTTCCTTCTGGAGGGTGGCTACTTTTGTTACACATGGTCCCTGTGTGTGTTGTTAAGAAGCAGCGGCTCCAAGCTCACTCCTGTGATGGACTACAATCTCAGTAAAAATTAGTAAACTAAACATGAGATTGTAGTCCATCACAGGAGTGAGCTTGGAGCCGCTGCTTCTTAACAACACACACAGGGACCATGTGTAACAAAAGTAGCCACCCTCCAGAAGGAAGGACAGTGTAAGCACCAATTCAGAGATGATTTGAGGATCCACAGCCGACTGATACACAAATAAGATACATTTTTGTTAATAGTTAGGGTATTTGAATGGATTTTTAAGATTTAATTCCCGAGTTCAGCAACACTAACTCCCAGAGCACTGGAAGTTAGATGCTCGGGGTGTGGAGAGGATCTTGTCATGAAGCAGCAGCTTGAAGGAAGTGGGATACCCACCATTACAGGTAACTCATGTGATTTATTTATTTATTTTTTAGATGCAGAAACAAAACTATTTAAACTAAAGTGTTAACATAACTCGTTAAAAAAACAAATACAAAAAAAATGTAATAGTATGGCTGACATAACTATTCTGGAAAAAGTACAGCAACAGATTTCCACCAGTGCTGCTCACAAAGCTAAATATATCAGCATTAGCCAAGTGAATCCAAGTACGGATTGACTTATACCCTTCAGCAGAGATCACATGAACCAAGTTCTAAACTTCTCACTATAGAAGGTGCACTGGAGGGAACCTGGAGCGAACTTTTCTCCCAAAAAGAGTTCCAAGTATTTCACCTCCCCTACTGCGCTTTATCCAAACATTGCAATACAATGTAACAGAACCAGCAATACGTAGCAATATATAAAAGGTAGCATTCATGTTAAGAAAATAATGCAGGATACACAAAGAACTAAAAACTCTCACACTGCATGCACACTTGTGGTAAAGCTTCTTTCAAAACCAAGAAAGTGTCCAATACAAAAAAAAGTTCATACTGCCTGCAATAACTGATCCTATTGTTGTTTTCATTCTTCCAAACCACACTGAAAGAATGAAAGGAAGAATATATTTGGCTTCTATTTGCAAAAAAATAGAGTATTTTCCTCAATCACTTCAGCAAGAACAAATATTGCTTCTCTGCATCATGAGATGTAAAAACACTGCAACTGACTGAATCAATCCCATAGAAATTTCATAAAAACAAACAAAGGGGTCCTCTAAATAACACTAGCACACCATACAATATGAGAATTAAGATTGAAGAACACACAATGTCGGCACCAAATGGTAGCGCCTGCTATAAGCATATTTATACAACAGACCTTAGAACACATTTCAATTTCTTCCAGCCACACTGTACAAAGAAATCTGACAGAAGGAAAATGTAGTTATTCAGGGGGGAATTCACTTTAAGAACATAATGGGACAGAAGCTACAATGCAACCAATAGGGCTGCGCAAGGTACTATCATGTCAACATAAAGTTTTTATGATAATTAAATTTGCTCATTTACAGAGATTATCCAATATAATGAAATCTCTAAACACGCGATAATTATCTCTCAACTGCCAAAGATTTACACAAAGAGGTGTCATTAAATCGTGGAAGGCTTAGCAGTGCACAACAGACAAGCAGATGTCATCAAGAAAGATCGTGCATCAATGGCCAAAGCTTTAGGGGAATAAACAAAGCCCTGCAAAATCTAACCATAAACTGTGACGGCCGTGACACTGCATGAGAAGCAGCATGGAGCGGTAGAGCGCGGACCTTCGCGTGCAGTGTGTCATGTTATTTTTCACTCTGGCATGTCAGCTTGCGAGAGCTCACATAGCTGAGATGAACAGTGTCATCTTCAGCCAATCGCCTCGCGCGTCAAAGTCTATTCAGTTGATATGCGCGAGCCGATTGGCTGAACATGCAGTCTTTCATCTGGCCGTGCTCAGCTCACACACTGCATGCGAACCTCCGTGCCCGACAGCCTTACTTTGCTCTGCACAGCTTCATATGCAGTGTGTCACGGGCTTTACTAGGAAATTTTGTACAGAACTATACGGTAGCAAATACTTTCAGAGTCATCACATCTCTTCATGGCAAAATGGCACATAGTGAGAGCTGAAAGTGTCTTTTTGTACATGAATTTGAGAATACATTTATGATGCAGGATTAATAAAGTGTTTTGACACACACAAAAAAAAAATCTATCATATTATCTATCTATATATAAAAATTAAGGCTTGAAAATAGGAATGGGCAAGCTCGACTCGGAGAAAAAGCACACACACCACATTTAGAATATTGCTTGGAAATAAGAAAGTAGAACAACAGAAGATAAAAGGTTACTGATAATATCTGTTCTCCACTCGTGTGTCTTTAAACTAATATTGACTACAGGTGTCACCATGGCATCAATAAAGACCAATAAATTAGCACAATGCAGTGTTCCGGGAAGCTCTGAGAGTAATAATACACAGAGCATTTGGACATGACCGATCTAAAGGTGCCCATACACCTTACGACCGTCGCAAGACTTTTGTCTATATATTAATATGCTTATAATACACAAAGCATTTGGACATGAGCGATCTAAGTATATTAATGCCATTGGAAGTGCTATTATCTCCAAAGAAGAAACCAGGTAAGCTCTAGGCTTTAGCACTTGAAGATAAATAACTAAAGCAAAATCTTTCCACAGTTACCATAGCAATGGCAGGCGTGATCAACTATCAGAAGCAAAGATTTTTAGCATGCTTTACTAGGCAATAACAGTTAAACTGAATATTTTCATTTGTTATTTTCCTGTTACAAAATAAAATAAATAGTGTGTGTAATAAGAAGAACAAAAAAAAAAAAAACACTGCTTGATTTTAAAATAATACTGTACAGTTGAAAAGTATTACTTTGTAAAAAGGAATAAGCAAATAATTATCTGACTTAAAAGGACACCAGTCAAGGGAGAAAAATATAGGCTGCCATTGTACCCTTACGGTCAGTTGCTCTACCCTACTAACGCTTTGGCTTCAATAAGTAATGATTTAATGAAGGAAAATGAACAGTGGTCAAGAATTCCGACTCTCTGTTGTTACACTGATGCCGGGCAACTAGGAAGGAGGCCAGACATGAAAGCTACAATATTTTTCTCAAGACACATGTACTTTAAAGCTCAACTCCAGCATTTTTTTAAAGCTTTGAAGAGAATGGAGAAGGGTTAGAACTCCACTGCGGAAATGGCCACACAACAAATGGTTTTGCTTGGAGTTGGCCTTTAAGGTATAAATCTCTCTACAATAGAAGTATCATAATTACTCCTATGAGGTAACTAACAGTTTATTTTTAAGGCCTGCCAGATGTGCGTCCAGAAATGCAAGTAACTAAATCACTGATGAGGACAAATGAAAGGACATGTTGCATATCAGTTGCAATGGTGTTTGGTATTAGGTGTCAAACACTGCCCATGAATCTTGGATTACTAATACAATCAAGTGAGAAGACAGGCCTCTCCCAGTGAAAAGGAAAGTGTAAATAGAAATGGATGCTATGTGCTCAGGAAAGGTTCAGATTTGTGTTTGTCCTCTCTAGTGAGTAAGGAAGACTAAATACCTTTTTTCTTGTCCCGCTTAATCTTTAGCTGTGCTGGTAGAGCTCTTAGTCTGGCTAGAGCCTGCTCTCGTTGGTTCATAAAATTAGCACCAGGAAATACAAAGGGGCCTGGGAAGAGACATTTCGTACATGCATGGGAAAGCTCACAAAATAAAAATAAAGTTTAGTGGAAAAATGAACATAACAAAATTATGGAAAACAATGACAAGACAAATATCTGAAGATAAACACAAACCAAAAATGATATTGGGGTTGGGTGGACAAGGGTAATCTGCATCACACGCACTTGCTGCTTATAACATTCTGGGACACCACCAATAAAGCGCAACTAAATCCCCCAAAAATAGCATTTTTTATGTTGCAGCTTACCACTCCTTAGATGTGGTGTTCAGGCTTTTGTTTCCTAGAGATCCTGCAACTAACACTTTCTGTCCTTGGGTGGCTTTGCTCAATGCTCGAATGTATTTACAGACTGAGCCATGGTTATCACCCAAGATACTCTGCTGATTTGGACTTCAAATAGGTCTTCCTCTATTCACCTGCTTTACAAGGGGGGATCAGTAGGTTTACAGAAGACAGTTTGGAAGGCAGATAACAATTTTGTGCTTTCAGTTCAACAGGAGGTGACCAGGACATGGATATCTTACAAGATGAACAGGTATTTCTGAACTTGTGGGAAATGCTAACAAACAAATTAAAACTAATGTAGTCACCTCAGCTAAGGACTGGTACCGTAAGCTGCAACAAAATAAATGTTTGTTCTTGTGTTTAGATGTCTTTTAAGTATCCTCTCTAATAGTAAAGCTACTACCTTGTTAGGCTTTTAACCCCTCGTCCCAACAATTCTGCAGTGGGGCCTAATGGCAAACAAGACCTAATGGCAACATGACAATGGACACAGCAGGTGGAAATTTCAGAAGGTAGGGCTTGTCCCAGAGAGTTATAAGCAAATGGTTGTAAAAGACTGGTGGCCACAGAAAATTAACTATTTTAGGTAGACCCACTCCAAGCACTAGATACGTTGTTCTCATGTTCCTACACAGTAAAAATCAAGTGTCTTACAAAAATACACTTAGGCCAACACGTTAAGAGCTCAATTCACAAAGCATTCTTTCCTAGTTCAGCTTCAGTTTTCTTCATACCACACCTATCAATCTCATTTCTCTTAAATCTCAATTCTACATTGAGGGTTGAACTCAATGGACATGTGTCTTTTTTTCAACCTGGTACCATGATGCATAAAATGCTTTACTTAGCCTGCTCTCCATGCAATGGTATTTTACCACTACTAGTGCTATTATGCTGTTAGTATCTTTTCACCATGCCTTATGATAAAACCAATTCACAAATATTACCACACAAGTTATCACTCTTTAAAATAAAACTAGGCTCAGGATTGGTTGTACCTGGGAGCATCAATAGCGGTCTAAAGAGGCATGCAAGAAAATAAGTCATTTGAGTGAATGGTTTCATGAGATACGGATTTATGAGAAATTAGGGCTGTCTTGTTTATCCTTATTTGACCCATATTGGCTTTAGGTTCTGATCCTGTTATTTAACCTGTATTGACTTCTCCTGTAATCTGGTCTATTTGCATGTGCATCCTGTGGCTCTTGGTTGCAACCCAATCTGTCCCTGTCTACCGCCAGTCTCTGTGTTTCTACATTTTGTTTAGCCAAGACTTTCTGTGCGTCGCATACTACTGGGACTACCTGTACCTTCAAGAGATCTGATAAGCACCAGTCCCTGCATTCTGGGGACGGCCATTTACCACCAGATGCTACCTGTTACTGCTCTGTACTGGATATCTACTATGCTTTTATCAAATTCCTTCACTTCAGAAGTTCCCAAAACCCCTAGATATGGCAAGCGGCCCCTTACCAACGATGGAAGCAAAAGATAAGACTGACTAGAACTAAGTTACATTAAATCCCCTAGAAGAAAACAAAACCAAAAACAAACAGAACCATGCAGAAATGTATAACTAAGTTTTAAAATGATCCTCGAGTAGATTTAATAAATAATCTACTTACTGTGGGCAATAACAGGATTAAGGGACACAGGGTCATTAGAATTCTGGAACAATTAAAACACTGGCCAAAAAAGAAAAAAAAAGGCATTGGCCAGCCACTCCCATGATGCTTCATTTTTTTTTTAGAAAAGCAGTGCAAGGAGTAGATCATAACTACAGATGAGTATGACCCGTGCCCCTTGATGAGCGTCAACAAAAGGATTTTGCGATGAGTACCAAAATCCTGTTTTTTAATCATCCATCAAGTTAGGGTTGCAACAAACCAATTAAACGATAACCGATTAGGGGAGTAGTTGTCAAGTATCCTCATTATCGATTAGTTGGTTGGATCCCCTGGCTCTCTCCTCCCCGCTGGGAGGAGGGCACAGCAAGCAGTGAGCAGGTGCAATAGCCAGCCTGCTTTTGGCTATTGCAATTTGAAATGGCCTTCGGTATTTGCATTCAGCTGCCGTCTGCGGAATCTTGCCACTGGCAGCTGTCATTTCCTGGCTGATGCTATTTAAGCACCATGTGCTTACAATTAATTTAAAAAAATTATAAAAGGTGGGGGAAAAAAATAATTTTTGGTTTCAACCTGACAAATTCTGCTGTGGTAGATGCCTTGCAGTGCCATTCATTTAAATGGCACCCCAAACACGTCTCCCCACCCACAGCGTGACTGCTCAAACTGGAATGCATGGTACTGCAATGCCGTGCGTTCCAGTGCAGTGCAATTGCAAAATATTGTGCATGCAGTTTTATTCTGAAGTAAACTTTATGTTTGGAACACTGCATTTTTGTATTTTATTTTAAATTAAGGATGGTATTTAATTTTTGTATTTGATTAATTGGAAAAGATAAAAATCGGCCAACTAATTGATTATGAAAATAATCATTAGTTGCAGCCCCACATCAAGTGACCCAGGACCAGTAGAATTTATGAACTATTTCAATGTCCCAAAATTCAGCCGGACTGAGGGGGTGGGCAACGCAACACTAACAAGTCCACACAAAAAAAAAACAAAAAAAACAGAACACACTAGGGGCTTCCTGTAACTCAAAGATTGGAATACAGGACCTAACAGCCACAGCTTGCATCAGCAGAGGCCTAAACATCCACCTTGTAGAACTTTAGAGAACGTGTGAACAGAAAACAAGGTGGTGAACTTGCAAATATTTGCACCGTGTGCTTTGACTGGTAGAGTCCACTGTTCAAGCTGGTAGCCTTAAACAATTACATGCCAAAGTCACCTAGAATTGGTGGAACAAGAAGCAGGTTGTAACTTCAGTAATGACAAAGAGAGTGGGTCAGCCTGTCTAAGGGAAGATAGAGGTATGCATGGACAGCTCTACCAGATGTGGCAATGGATGGAATTTTCCACAGGATAAACAGCCGTGGAGCAGGAGTTGGACAGAAATGGAAGTACAATGTCCTATGAAGTTTCACTAAAATGTTTACATTTTTATTTAATCTGCTAGGGACCAACTGCATTTCAATTTAGCAATTTCTATGCCAGTGATCAGCAACAGGGAGATGGGTGGGAGAGGTAGGAGGTGGTATTTGTTTTAATGACGAATCTTCAAAATAAAAAATATAAAGATGGCAAAAAGAAAATGGGTAAATGTTTCCCTAAAGAGAAAATAAGTCATCCTCCTAGGACATGAGCAAACGACTGCAGCATTATGGGACTGGGGTTTTTATTACTGGCTAGCCAATGGCTTTTTCTGTGTGCCAATTTCTCCTAAAGGCGTCAGTATAATTCAATTGTTCCTGAATTTTAATGATCCTGTGCCACTGAATTATTATGCATTTCTCATTTCTAGAGTTTTTTTTCTTGTTTGTTTAAACCCAAAATTATAAGATGAAAGAACATGTAGGCGCTTCAGGGTACAATGAGCCATAGACATTTAGAATGCACAGAAAAATTACTTTTTAAAGAATAAATGATTACATTTACTTGAGCACCAGTAATCTCTACCAAAGATGTTAGTTCTAAGGAAAGCAATCGCCAGAATGGTTGATCATGAGCTTGCCAGCAAAATGTTACCATAAAAAGAGGAGTCTTCTTAAAGCACCATTGTAATATCAAAGAAAGCTGGGCTTTTGCCAACCTTAAAATGTTAAGGGTCTGATGAAATAATGTTCGCATGTTGATAAGAACAGGTGAAAAAGTTGAAGAAATATGGAGTTTGCATAAGTACTAGACCACTGTACCTCTTACTTGGATTTGGGGCTTAGTCAGAAACTACTGGCCATATTATGCAAATTTCATCCGGTTCTTCAGGAAACGGCTAAAATTTGCACAGTGGACGCTGCTGTCGGCATACATGCCTCAAAGAAGCTGGTCTAAAAATCTTCGAACGAATAGAGCCAGCAGCCAATGAGTTACTGGCTCTGACAAGTGTATTCTGACAGCGACCACTGTCAGAAAACAAAGGAAACAGCGGGGATTCCTCAATGTTCATAAGCGCTGATGTAGGAATCTGTTCTTTTTTTTTTAATTCAGCCTGAAAAAAACAGAACAGTGTAGGGCCAACTTAAAGCTGGCCATACACCTATAGCTTATCTGCAGAATTTCTATGGTCAGATGAAAACATTTCAACAGATTCCGCCATCTATGCTAAACTGTGTGGATGGAGGGATCTCCCACTGGGCCAAGCTTCAGTATCTTGCTAGTCAGCCCCGCCGGCTGTCATAATACCTGAACAATCAGATTGGATGCAGGCATTGTTCGGGTATTTTGAGAGCCAGCGACTTGCAAAATACTGAAGCTTGGCCCAGCCCTCTTGGGGGTATTTCTCTAGACTTGCTATGAAGACAGGAAGTTATGTGAAATCTCTCCAACAGGAACACAAACAATAACGCAGTTCAGCAGCGTGAGGACAATGCTTATAATGCTGTCTGTGGTCTCCTGTCCTGGTGTTTACCGCACCCTCCATTTCCTTTATCGACATCACAGAGCAAAATTGACGTGAGGGGAAAAGCTCTCAGATGGGCTCACAAAACAAAGATTTACTCTTACCCATTCTATCAAAAAGAAATTGTCTGGAGGTTTTAACTTACCACGCTATGTACTAAATAAGCATCAAAGCAATAAAGCCCAAATGTGGGCTCAGGCCCCTGCCTTCCGGTTCCCCCCTGTCCTCCCTGGAGGCCCCAGTGCTGTATTTTATGGGGTTTTTAATACACCTTTTCCAGATATCTTCAGGTTGTTCTCCTGACGAGCAAGGTCCTTTGCCTTTCCCGATCTCCTCCAGTGGTGGACAGTCATCTCTGCATCATTACAAAATAAGTGAGGGGCGGGGAGCACAGTATGCACTGTGGCTGGGTGGCATTCAACCCGGAAGACAGAGGACATCTTGTGGGGAAGAACAAAACTATGCAAGACAGCTTTGGATTGAAGGTGTGAAATTGCAGAGCCACGGCTGCTTTTTTTTTTTTTCCAGCTGCCGGGAGATCTTTTTGTAGATTCAAACATTAGCCTAGAGTTGGGCTTTAAAATACTTAGTAAATACAGAGATCAGCTTCACCCCTGCAGGAAGAAGGTGCAACAAGAAGCTGAGCAGAAACAATATGGCTCTTTCCAAGATGGTATGTAAATTTCCCCACTAAAGTATTTGACATTCAGGTTAAAAAAAAAAAAGATTTGTTTAAACAAATATGTATTAGTAAATTGTTTGTATTATCATCCTGTGTCTATTTCTTCCCAGGTTCATAGCAGTTGTTCTTGCCCCACTGCAATTATTCATGAATACAACTATTGATTTACTTACTTGACAATATTCAGTAGCTACAGTACATGATTTGCAGCTCCATTATCTGCTTTTTATTTATTTTATATGCAGAAAAAAAAAAGTATGTTTAAAACCTGTTTGCATTGAAAAAACAAATATAAAAGAGGTACCTTTAGCAATCCATACTAATCTGAAACCAACACCATGTGATTCACAAAGCTGCTGTGGTTTGAGAAGTACACATGTTTACCTACAGTATACATTCATAACTATTACCAGTTATCAGGATAGTCGCCATACCTATATTTCCATTAGGTTTATTATTGCCTAAAAAAAGGAGAAATAAAAAATAAAATGACAGTACAAAAACACAAAAACAGTAACTTCCATATAGTTTTTAAGATTGAGACAAATATGGGCATGAAAGATTACCTATTTAATAAATGCAGATAGGAAATTAAAATGACAGTTGTCATCAGTATCCTTGAAAGGGGTTAAAGTAAAACACTGTCCAAAAATATACCAACTTAGTCCAGGGCTTACTATTTCAATTATAAACTATAGCACAAACAATTTCATAGGCAAGTTTACCTCTCCCATCATCTATCCGGTGTCTCCTGTTGACCCTCTGTCTCTTGTCATCCTGACGTAACTGAAGGTGTTCATCAATGTTAACCCCTGGCACTGGCACAGCTGAAAGAGTTCCAAGAAAACAAAAAACCCCAAAAAAGTTTAACAAACTGCTTCTCATTAGAACAGAATAATTGTTTGCAAAAAAAAAGGCAAATCCAAATGTGATTGACTGGCTCAAGGCCCTTAGTAAAGCTACCAATACTTAAAGTGCCACTAAACTCAGGAGTTAAATCTTGAAAAATACATTCATGTACCTTAACCATTGACAAAAATGTATCTTATTTGTGTAACACTTGGCTGTAGATCCTCAAATCATCTCTGAATTGATGCCGACACTGTCCTTCACTTCAGTGTCGGCATCACCGCTCCAAGCTCACTCCTGTGATGGACTACAATCTCTTCTTGTGATATCATCAGGTATTTTACTATACTAGCTTTGTTTTAAAAAAGTTGAAACATGGGGAAGCTGTGCTGAATATGTTTTACATTTCGTCTACGTGCACACTTATAAATCCCAAATCCAGAGCTAACGATAATGAAGGGAGATGCAGATAAAAGTGAAAAAACAATAAAAAGGGAAAACTTCACACCTTTACCTAGGAGCAGGTCTAAAGGTATCATCTCTTTCACTGCATCTAGAATTCCTCTTTGCCGTGCTTCATGTCCATCCAGTTCTCGAGCACAAGCTTTGCAACATCCACATACTGCGCAGCCTGACTCTCCAGAACCACAACCACAAACTCTGCAACATAAGGAATACGAGACAAAATAATGTAATTGCAAGAACCATTAGACCCAGTACTTTTTTTCCCCCCAATATTAGCTTCTTAATGCTAGTACATACATTTCCTGTGCTACTAAAAAAACATTAAGGTCCTCTTCACACCTCTGCAGTACATTGTGGCAGCCCATTCATTTGCAATGGGCTGCCAACACACCTCAACACGCGCAAAACACAAACATGTAACTTTTTCCTTACGAAACACACCACAACACCAAGATAGTTCCCCCATCTGTTCCCTGTGGTGCACTGCAACCACATGCAGTGCACGTTCAAGGTGTGCATGGGTGCCAATAAGAATACTTTGCAACACATCCCAAAAAGACATCCCAAACAGCATTACTTTGAAATATTTGTTGTAGTGTGCATTACCGAAGCGCAGATTTGAAGCCAACCTTAAAAACATCAAACAGAATTTTTTAAACCCTTTAAACAAATTTCAACTACCACCTTGGAATGGTAGTTCTAAAGGTAGTCATAACCCTGTGCCCGATACCTTTCCTGAGTTCCAGCGCTGCGGTCTCCATCAGTGTCTGTATTCAAATTGATGGAATGTCACATGCCTATGTACCCTGTCGCACACTGTGGTTCTATCCTCTGACCACTACGTCACTACAGGATTAAGCAGTGACATAAGGTCGGGATGATGGATTTACAGCATGCAGCAGAGGACACACAGACTGTCCTGAAACTGACAAATATCTAATGGAGGTTGCAGCACTGAAACAGATTGACGGTAGAAGAAATGGGCTGCCGGAGAAGTGGTTCTCTTCTTGCAGAGAACCTAAACCTTTTTTTAATAGGCTTTAAGAAAGCTCGTCAATGCAGTTTAAATATCTTGTTGATACTCATAGAACACGTGTAAAATCAAAGATTAAATAAAATAGCTGTTTATACTCGGCCACAGGATGGAATTGAGACCGGCTTAGCAAACACTAAATTACATGTTCATACCCTCCTGGAACACGGTCCGGGCGTCCACTGCTAACACAGCTGGCTCCATATCCAGTGCAGTCTCCACAGACAGTGCAAACCATGCAATGTTCCAACTTCCATTTATGCATTCGAGGGGGGCACATTAAAGATTTATCATCCTTCTCATCCAGCTCTTCCTCCAGGTCTTCATCCATGGCTGTTGCCATGTTCTCGACCCCAAATCCTGCTGTAACAGAATACATAAAACTTAGAGGGGAAAAAAACAAAGAAACAACAAGATAGTATCTAAAGACCACACCCTTGAAGGCAGAGGAAGTTTCTATGCAAGCAAATAATATTCAATGATTTTTAAGCATTTAGATGGGCAGTTTAGTTAAGCTTAGCTAAACCACAAAATAATTACACAAATTCTGCAACTACAGTGTGGAAAATAATGATTTGATCCCCTGCTGGTTTTGTAAGTTTGCCCACTTACAAAGAAATGAAAGGTCTATGTTTATCATAGGTGTATTTTAAATGAGACAGAATATCAACTAAAAATCCAGAAAAAAAACACGATACAAAATATTATAAACTGAGTTGCAGTTCAGTGAGTAAAAGAAGTATTTGATCTCCTACCAACCAACAATAATAGTGGCTCCCACAGACTGGCTATGTGGTACATAGGTTAGTCCTGTCAATGTAAGAAGGTGCTCCTAACAACAACTAGTTATGTATATAAAAAGACACCTGTCCACAGAATCTTTCTTCCATTCAAACCTCACCACCAAGAGCAAGACCAAAGAGATGTCAACGGACGTTAGGGACAAGATTGTAGACCTGCACAAGGCTGGCATGGGCTACAAGACTGTCAGCAAGAAGCTTGGTGAGAATTAAACTAATAAACAAGATCTGCGCCATTGATGCAAAAAAAGGTGAAAAAGAGCTACTAAGCACTAAAATTGTATCTAATATAATACAAAATATACATGCAACATCCAGCTCGGCACATTGCATGCATATGAGAAAGAAACAACTGTTGGAGCGATTATTTGCAAATGTAAGGAATAAAAAAAAAAAAACCATCAATCGCCCTCAGTCTCAATCTTTACAACTGCACATAATCCGCTTGTTTGGGGCTATTGCTACAGCCGCAAACATGCAGAATCCGCCCCCCGAAATTGCGCTTGTACTATTTTGCGGGCCGAGCGGTTTTGTACCATGCGGCCGCCACAAAAGTCTGAACAATGCAAATTAAAGTGCATTGTTTTTTATGTTTAGAGTGGTTCCACGCGTATTTGTACGGCCGAAATAAAGCGAATAACCACCCGTGTGAATGGACTCAGGTCGCAGAATCACTGGCCCACCAGTATCTCAAGGAAGGCCAAAAGCTCCTATAAGCTAAATATTACTTTGGCCTTTGGATAAGTTAAGCTCTGTTAGCAGCAGTGGGTGGGAGTATAGTGGAGTTAAGGGTTTAGAGGTAATTTACACCAGTGCGGTGCATAGAGTTGCAATAATTTATATTGGCATCCCAAAGCACCTGCTCCGCAATGCACCACAATGTGCAATGTCTTGTGCTGCAAAATATATTTTAAAAAAGCAGCAAACACTAAATCTAGCAGTAGATATAGCAAAAAAAAAAAAAAAAATACAAGACTTTAATTCTACTTTAAATCAATATGAGCCTTTACTTATTTTAAGTTGCTGCTCAAAATCCGACAATGAAAAGCTCAGAAGCACAAACAGAAAAAAAATGGTAAATTTGTTTATTTCGGTGACTTATTTGTATTCCAAATGTGATTCTAAGTATGCAGAGTTGCACTTTGATATACTACACATAAAAAACACCATGAAAAAAAGTAGTCCAATACACACATTTGTTCACAAATGCCACATACTGGAAAACATGAAATATTGTTTATGTGCACAAGGAGACCTAATCAAGTGATGAAGTTGATTAATATAATTCTGATAACAATGATAAAAAAAAAAAAAAATTATTTAAAAGCTTAGATGGCATTAATAGATATTTCAGACAAAAAAACAAAAAAAACTAGAGTATGAGAATTAAGCTTTCTAATGCAGAGCAGAAGTAAGCAAATCAATGTATAAAATGGTTACCTTTTGCTCCTTGGCTCAAAGCTCCAGTATCTCTTCCACACTGTCCCTTGTTATTTACACCAAAAGTCCATACCTCTCCTTTCTTAGTCAACACACAAGTGTGAGCTTTTCCCATGGCTACTTGTGTAACTACATGTCCTTTCAGGTCTGTTACCAAGTCTGCAAGAAGGTTTAAGATGATTAAAAGTCTACATACAAAAAATGTGTGCAAAAGATGTATGGCTGTCTTAGGCAAACTTGACATGAAGTGACCAACCATGAAATTTAAATTCACATTTAAAAACATTGCCAAGACGATCACATTTCAAATAATACATGAACCAACTGCAAGTCTTGAAAAATAAAACAAATGAATAAAAAAAACATCTTACGCAAATATTTAAGTAAAAAGATATTCAAGATATTAAAGGCTAATCTTTCCTTTGGAGTAATTCTATAAAGCATCAATTAAAGCTGGTCTACAGTCTCCCCCTATCCCACCCTTCCCCCAACTGATCAGTGGTATTGCCAAAAAAAAAAAGTAAAACAAAATATGCCCTAAAACAGGTAATGCAAGACTCCAGTCCCGAGTATTTTATCTTTCTTCTGTTTGGAAAATGGGGTCCTTCGTTGGGTGTCCACATCCCTGCCTACATGATGTAGACACTTCCTATTGACTGTCCAGTGGAGGGGTCCTCTCAGTATCCAGAAGAGTAGCCTGCAGTGGCAATTGCCCCCCGCGCCTCTCGGATACCTTTGCAAACGCCCTAAACACTTAACCCTAACAGTGCAAGGGTTAAGTTCTTAAAATTCTGGAGTTCCTCTTTAAACAGAATCTGTCACTTTACCCATTGAGGGGTCATGACCATAACAAAAGCCTGACAGGAGGTTCTAACTAGGTTTTCACTATACTAAAAGTGTTTCTTCATATCCCGTCTCTGGATGTGAGGTTCCTAGCACAATACACTCAAGTGTGAAAATCGGGGCACTGAAATCAATGGGAATTCATGTGCTGAGCATTTTGTTGCGCGACAAAATGCCTAGGTGTGAATGGGGGCTAAAAGTAGCTCCACGCTGTTTCCCCGACTTTTCTTGACTAAAACCTCAGACAGAGACATCTGATAAGGGATAAGTCACTGTGATCAATATTTCCATTGTAGACTATAAACCGTTGTTTTTACCCAATGGGGCTTAGTAGAGCCACTGAACCATGTGAAAAGGATCTGAAATCTACAAAATATTAGATATGAAATAGTTTATATCTTTCTAACAAAAATCTACAACACCCTTTTACATTCTATTTAAGCTCTGTTACCATTTACTCAGACAAGCTTATATTTGTGTGAAGACAATCCAATTTTAACTGCCCTTCCTTTGGTGACCTAAATTTTGGGAAAGACCCAGCAAAATCAGAAATTGTGGTAGGTATAAAAAAGTATCTTATGAACGGTAAACAATTTCTATAATGATTTCCAGGACCAGCTACAAAATACATAAATGTATAACTACTGCAAACCTGAACAGTGTGCAAAGCCTCGCATTTAACACAGTGAAGTGAGAGCCTGAGAGGAAAAATAGTCCCATTCAATTTCCATCACTTACTTGAGTTGTCAGCATAGATGGCATCTTTCCCGAACATATACAGCTCACCATCCTTGGTAAGGACTGAACTGCTCCCATTATTGCACGCTGTGCTCACAACAAATTTACCTTCCATTTTGATCATTTTCTTAGGTTTGTATGGTTTAGACTGTCTCCTGCTCTTTGCTGCAAAGTTCAAACAGCGATGTTATGGTAATTATAGACAATTATGCATTTGTTACAATAAGCAGCAATTTAAGTGTAATTGCTATATTATGAAGATTAACCCCTTATTACATTATTCTCAGGATCACACACACAGAAAAAAAAAGTCAGATTTTAAGCTTTCAAAATAAAGATATATGGTTTAAGGAACATAAAATTACATTTACAATTTCCCAGAAAACAATACTTTTGCAAACAAATTGTGTGCATGAAATATATTAGCTGTATTGGTGTAGGCGAGTTCAAGTGACATTAAAGGCTAATGTTGTTTTTCCCTCCCCCTGTTAGTGTAAGGACTTACCTTAAATCATGCCTCTTAATCCGATCATCTTCTTCTTCAGTGTAGTTTTCAGATGTCCTTCCAGCGCTGGTGCAGGTCTCTGATCCAGCGCCGACTCCTCTGCTCTCATGTCCCACGGAGTCTGTGCGGGCGCACGCTACTCCATAGACTTACCTTGTGTCTCTCCTCGTCTCCCGGCCGAACATCTGAATTGCGCATGCGCCCGCCCCAAGATCCTTTGTAGCCACTCGAGCCTCTTCAGATGTTCAGACGGGAGCGCGCGGCGAAGACACAGGTAAGTTTAAACCGGTTCGAAAGGGGCGGGGGGTTCCAAAGTTTTTGCATATAGCTACTGCTTGCCAGCAGTAGCTATATGCAAAAACTGCTGAAGGTTTATTAACCCTTTAAGGTAAAATTCAATTAAGGTGCAACATTTATATCATACTAACATAATGCTTCTAAAAGTAAATAAAGTAGACTTTTAGCCATTGTTTGAAGCTTTACATAGAATGGCCAAAGCTTAGAAAATGTCAGGATTTTATATCCGTGCCCCCTGATGGGATGATTTCCCTGCACATACTGCTGAATCACCACAACAAAAGAAAGGAGAATTACTCCCAAGCAGGAAACAGAGAGCAATAATAGCACTTTTACTAGCAGAATAGGAAGGCTCAGAACACATGCTAGGTCTTATGCAGCATGTGTCCTAGTTGAGATTTCCTTACTGTTGAGTCACCAAAAAGGAGAAATTGGGGTAAAGCTCCCCAGTACGGAAATCTTAGGAGGAGCTGCACTTAAAGCAGACCTTTACCACACTAAAAATCACATCAGTATGTGGTGCTACTTGCCAATATGAAATCATCTAACATTGATTAGTTAAAGCGGAACTCTGGGCACAAATTGTAGTAACCCTTGCAGCGAGGCTCCGTTTACACATTATTGGTTTCCGTGCACATTTAAATGCGCAAAACATAAATATGAATGCATTTAAATGCATTTTGTTTACACCTTGCATCTCGTTAGGGTCTGCACACCACGAAAACACGCCTCGCTCAAAAAAGTACGAATGCGAAATTCTGGGCAACCTCCGTGCATTCTGGCTATAGTAGTAGACACCAACATACGGAAACTGCGCATATGTTAAAAAGTGCACGGAAAACCGCACTGACTTTCAAACCGCTATGTGTGAACGGAGCCTTAAGTGCTGGTTTTTGTCTACGCTCAAAAAAAAAAAAAGTTTTTATTCCCCCAGTCCTCAAAGCCGGACGGCTCTTAGATTGTTTCCTTTCGCTTTGCTCCCCCTCCCCCCTGCATCGGTCTAAGGTCCCTGAGTCATTACATTCTATACACAGTGTATAGGACGCGAGGACGCTGAGGGACATATCATCGGGACAGCCAGCTCCGAATGAGTAACTTTTTTTGTTAAATCTAGACAAAAACAAGCAGTCATCCCCTGCAGTGCAGGGTTAGCCCCACTGCAAGGGTTAATACAATTTGTGCCCAGAGTTGTTCTTTAAGTAAACATATTATTCTTTTACTTACAACTACTGTTTTTCCACTTCCTGGTCCTCTTAGTAATGCAGCCTGTGTGGAAGGTTACATCAGTAGTGCATTGCTGGGAAATCTCATTCCGTAAACTGCAAAATCTCAGGGGACAGCATTAATGTGCATGCCCCGAGATGATGTGCATGTCACATGTCCTGGTCACATGTGCCAGAGTTCCAGGAAGTAAGGGGAGATGGATTAATGTGCCCTTAGAAAAAATGGCCACAGAAAGGGGAAGAGGAAAAAAATAACAGATATACAAAGAATAAAAAGCCTGCGCTTATCCACAAGTATCCGTTCGTATATTGTCATTACTAAACATTCCTAAGTGTGCCTTTGTTGTCATATTAAACAGAAGGGTAAAGTTCCTCTTTAAAGCTCAACTGCAGGCAGAAAAAAAACAAACACCACTTTATACATTTTACATAAACACTTAACTACATAAAGTGTTTTATTAAAAGTAAACGGTGTAGGTATCTGAATGTGCCTTGGCATTAGCCTCTGGTACCCCCATGTACAGGTGGGGCTCAAATTAGGAAAAGAGAAACAGCACAATGAATCAGTCAGCTGCAGTACTCGTGCTAACAAGGAAGATGCTTACAGGAGAAGAGAGCAGAGTGAGAGAGATGAGTACATCAGTCTACTAATTCTCATTTACTGTCCAATCACAAGCTGGTGGCAGTAACAAGACCTAGCTGCATTAGTGCCATAGAGAAAAGTCAGGACACCAGTCTGGTTCTGGGGTCTGAACATTTTAGAACTGGTAGACCAAAATGCAAAATTGTTTGAAATAAAATTTTAAAAAATGGGATATACATGCTTAAACATTATATTTAATGATGTATAAAAGGACAAAGTAAGAATCATACTAGAGTGCACATAGAAACGTGTTATTCCGATTCAAGGAACTACATGTAAAAATAATATTTTCTGAAAGATCACGAACGTCTATAAAGCTACTACAATACTACATGACAAAGTGGCTTAAATGAAAAGAAACAAGTGCCAACTCTGACATACCTTTTTGGGATAAAGATTACATGACACTGTAAAATAGACATTCGGCTGTACACCTAAAAATCTGATCTCCTGGTAAAATGATGTAAAGTGTCTATGCTTTAAAGTACATGGACATTTTAGGATGAGAAGACATTGGAGGTACTTCTGGAAACCAACCAAGTGAGAGAGTGAAAGATACTTACTTGATTCGCCATCTTCCCCTTTACTTGCTGTGCCAGTGAAAAATACACTCCCATCATCAGCAGAGAGTAAGGCATGAGAACCATCGTGACCAACAGAGAACTGGACAATCTTTGGAGATTTTGTTATTGGAAGTTCCACCCACTTCCCAGAAGAGGGACCACCTTGCTTGATGCCTAGGCTCTGATATTTGCCAGTGTAATAAACCTGGGTAGATATGCAATTAAAAAACTTAATTTGAAAAGTACATGTATGTGGCATTCCTTACTAGGAACCATTTTTAACAAGCCTTATAAACAGAGTTGGCCAAAAGGTTAATTTGTTCAAAATGACGAGACCTATAAGCACACTTGGCTGCACAAAAGACTAAAATTGACTGAATGCTCTAGCTGGGAATAGTCAATTACAACCTTCCAATCAGGCTACCTGCATTTTCTCAAGGTGAAGGTTCTCTGATATTATGTTACCCCCCAGCTGGCACTACATTTGTTCAAATCTGTCAAGATTACATAAGAACCATCTAAAGCCTATGGTAGCACTGGACAGATCACAGGGGAGATGAAGCAAGTAAGCCTGTGGTTTCATACTTTTCCCAGCGTTTACTCTTGTTCGAAATTGACAAGTATTCTGCCACTTCCAGGTCTGAATGCTACTTTTTACTAGCCCTGGGCACTTTTCATTCTAGAGAGGAACAGTCTGCAGGGTAGTTCTTTTGGCACACTAATACCTAAATATGTGGCAGATCTGCTCATATCACAACTCATGTAAATATGATGCAAAAGAATATGGACACCGCCACTCCAAAAGCAGATAGAATACGTCTATTTATTGACGTACATGCAAAAAAGGTAGCATAGCACACTTATGGCATCATTATGACAGTGGCCATTCGTCGACTACCGAGCACCCATGTTATTTTGATGGATATGCAGTCAGGAGTGCAATGGGTACATGGACTGTCATGTAAATATGACTCGCTAACATTGGTAAAGTTCATTCCAGCTAGTATTAAAATAATAGGAACACTCAATCCTACTAAAACTCACACTATATTCCTTTTCGACTGCTACTAAATACATCAAAATGGGTATATTGAAAAACGGCATGATGTGCTTTTACCTACACCAACACATTTTAAGCTTTATAAGTTTAACTGCTTCAGGGCCATCAAATGGAGATATAGTCCGGCTCCTGAAGCGGTTTTACCAAGATCACAGCTGCTGCAGCAGCCGTGTTCTTGGTCTGTTTTAACCCCTTCATGACTGAGCTTGTTTTTAGTTTATGTTCGTAAATGACACACTATGTATCTATTCCTGAAAGTGAAAAAAAAAAAAAAAAAAAAGCCAGTATAGCTTGAGAGAGATATCTCTCGATCTATACGAGCTGTCAGAATGCCGGCAAAAGCCGGCATGTGTGCCCGCTCAGCTTTGACTCTCAGACACCCGATACTAAGGTATCGGGTGTCTGAAAAAGGTTAACCCTTTCATTAATGGATGCCTCTAAACTGAGGGATACATTAATGAATGGTAACCGCTGATTCTCAGCGGTTACCAGCCTTCTAGTGCAGCAAATAACTCGTCACGTACAGTGTACGTGACAAGTCATTTGGTCCCTTTGTGGCGGGAAGTACAGTGTACGTCTCCAGTCATGAAGGGGTTAAACAGTCGGTCATAGCTGTTCAGAACCTAAGTATTTCTCTTAGCACAGGTTTCCTTTAAAAGAAGCAGTTTTTTTTTTTTTAAATGTTATAAAAATATAGTTCAATATACCTTTCCACTAGATGTTTTCATCAGAGCAAACTCTCTTCCTGCGCCCAGAACAGCCAATTCTTCATCAAAGCCAGTGCCTTTAAGGAGAGAAATTTACAAAGAAAGCTATTTTTTGGCAATACTGAGTAGCCAGAACATTTACAACCAGTAAAAATCCATAATATCTACGTAAATATGTAGATGCTTGTTCACAAAATGGCTGGGCAATCTTGATGGTTTAATAATAAAGAGAATAAGATTGTACAATCACCACATGCAATCTATCATCTAAGGCTGGCCATACAATGCTCTATTTTTCTTGTTCAACCCGCGGGCTGAACAGGAAAAATAGAGCAGTTTCCTCCATCAACAACACTAAGGAGTGTCGATTGAGAAATCCAGCTGTTTGTATTGTATTCTGACACAATACCAAAACAAAGCCAGCAAGCTTATTGGCTGCCGGCTCTGATCGTACGAAGATTTTCCAGCCAGCTCCTCTGATCGTGGACCTGAACGAGGGATATCGACAGCGGCGCACACTGTGCGAATTTCGGGCGACTCCTCAAAAACAGGCCAAAATTTGCAAAGTGTATGGACACCTTAACACTCTCTTCTGACAGAGATGTGATGCAGTATTTGTGGCCTTAACTGCAGATGTCTCAATGGATCCTTAATTCTTTAAAGGTAGAATATAGGTAGACACTTGCATCATCAAATAGGTTTGTTAGTGAGGAACTCCAGGAAAACATTTTTTTTAACCCGTGCAGTGGGGCTACTCCCTCATTGCAAAGGTTAAATGCCACTTGTTGTCTACTTGCTAAAATTAAAAAAAAGTTATACTCACCCAAAGCGCCAAGCCAGCCAGCTGTTACAGTCTAACCTCCAGCCTGTCTCCTCCTCCTCCACTGCAGCAGTGGAATCTTCCCCAGGGCCCATTCACACCAGATGCTGCACTAACTGCACAGCGTCTGGTGTGCAGTGCTCCGACACAGTGCTGATGCGCTCATCCCAGCGCATCGCACTGTTCTTTTTTTTCTTGGCACAAGTGACATTTCATTTAGCTCTAGGGGCACAGCGGAGTGTGAGGCGGTTGTACTGTGTCTCATACCGCTGCACACAAAAAAAAAAAAAAAAAAAAAAAAAA